AAAAACTTAAAAATACAAAAGTACGTAAAAATAGATATAAATACGTAAAAAAATACGTTTATACATTATATATAAGTTTTGACGAAATCTGCAGAAAAGTCCCATTATTTTTGAAAAATTAACGATTTGGTCATGTGACTTGTTAAACATGTCAAGAAGGGTTTAACCGAATAAATTAACCGGTTTCTTGGATTTTATTATTAAAAAGGTTAAAAAGTCGAGAATTTTGTATTCAAAAAATAAAATTTAGGACTATTAAAAATTTTCCCAAAATATTTGGACTTTTTTTTGTAGATTTCCCTCCACTTAACAAGTTAAATAAGTAAAATGCCTAAATTACCCCTCTACTAATAAGATGTGCTTTATGTTACCGGTTTTTCCAAAATTCCTATGTCAAATAGATGCTTGAGGTGGATGCATAGCCAAGGATAATTACGAAGAAAGTTGTCTACTTTATAGCAAACATTGATGAGATAAAGTACATTGCTAATCCTCATAAATGGCTTAACAAAATCAGTCAATCTTCATGTATATTAACATTTGTGAATGTAATGTTGGTACATCCATGCTGGATGATTTTTTGTAATATTACTAATTATGATCATCGACAAATAACCTAACATATTATATGGAATTTGGCCTTGGAAACATAGAAACTTAATCTTGTGTATGAAGATCTAATGACCTAAATAACTTCTACATTTCCTCATATACATTAGAAAACCCTTTTATTCTAAATCTTTTTGTTATTTCATTGGATATAATGGCTTTATCTTTTCCTTACTTGATTTGAGGAAAATAACTTATTTGAAGAATCATCCTTCATATTCATTTTACACTTTTAGGGTTGTTCATTAGTTGGCAGTGGCTTATATGTGTGTGGTTGTTTGGTTCGAGTATTCAACTTTTTGATGAATGTTCAGCAAAACCGAATTATTGTTTTCGATTCTGGATCGATTATGATTTATAAACTTAAAACTGAATAGTTCAATAAAACTTGGTAACCAATGAACAGTTAAATTTGGTATGAATTTAAACATACTTACTAGCAGTAACCGATGAACAGTTAAACAATAGTTTTGATGAACAATACCAAAGTGAATAGTGATATGGTGAACAATGACACATAAACAATACCTCTATGAATAGTCATTCTGATGAACAATGTTGCTACCAGAATTGTTGCTCTTATACCAATCGATACAAACCGATAAAAATTATAAAGATAATGCATGTAATTCAAGAAACAGGGAGTTTTCCAAAACCGAGTTCAAGACTCGATACTCTTATTCATCACAATCATAAAATAAGCCTAATGTACATTATACTTTATAATGTTCCAACAAAAGCCTACTTACCAAAATTAAGAACATACTAAAACAAAAGGATAACTTTAAGGAAATACTATGTCACACCCCGACCGTCGGCGGAAACACCGGGCGGTGTAACATCATTCCTTATATCATAGTTATCAAATATATATTGTACAGTACAAAAAAATTTATTGTAAACTACATACCTTTATTGATAATAGAAAGTTACATTATTCTAGCTTATCAAGTTCCTGAAAACACATGCATTTTGAAAATACGTCAACATAAATTTGGTGAGTTCACAGGTCTGAGTAAAAATAATACTTTTTCTAAGTTCAAAAGTTTAGTTTTGAAAGTATCATTTTGACGCTCCAACCTTTAGTATATATATTAGGTATAATAGTCTACTTATCAAATAAGTTTTATACCTAAACATTCCTTGAACCTAGAGTATAAGTAAGGGGAAACTTATACTTAACATTAATACTTGTATACGACAAAGTATAATGCTTCTAACAATTTGCTACCATAAGTCCGTAATCGCGGCTGTATGACTAGTTTCAAACCTCTGCTTGATGCTACAAGTTTCGCATCTTAAGATAAGTTCCACACGCTTCATAAACATGGGAACAATAAACAAATAAAAGGACAGTTCGTCACTCGCTTAAGTTTGGTTGTAGCTAGCAACCACAAGTGGGGTTGTCAACCCGTATCTTATTCATACACGACTTCCTCGCTCGGTCAGGATTAACATTTACAGGTCAGAGGATTTTCCCTAAGATTTCCAATCTTAGTTGATGAATACAATAGCTCATGTAGACTTCGACGACTCCTATAGCTCTAACAACAAAAGCATATTCGTGTCTAAAACCCTAACTTACTAGACAATGCTTTTAAACATTACTCCTAATTTCATAATAAGGTAGTATAACAGCTATAACTTGAGGTAAAACTAGGTTTTATCTTGACATAAAACCAATAGTAGAAACATACTTAGTAATTTGTATATAGAACTTTCGAGTATAACTCCGAAACTATATCACACATAACATATATATATATATATATATATATATATATATATATATATATATATAGAATCCTAAGTATAACTCAAGATCTACATTAGTATAATAACATGCTAACAAGTTGATAACAGTTGTATATTTTCAAAATATCATATTTAAAACAACTATATCCCGGTTAGTATAACTATCTATGTTGATATGAATATACTATCATATAAACATAATATTAACTTATATACAATATTTAGCATGTGTTTTCCCCCGAAAATATTAAAAAGTGGGGTCGTGAAACTCACCCTAGTAGCGTGATCTATAGAATCTAAACGGTCAAAGGCTCGTCGTTGTCAGGCTCAAGAAGGGAAACAACCTACGAAAAATGAGGGAGAGAAAAGTAGAAGGTGTAAGGAATGAAAGGGTCTTGATCGCTATTTATAGGCTGATTTTGGCACATTCACGTCGTGACATGCCTAGGGTCACGTCGTGAACATCCATGAGCCACCCCGTAGCTTTAACACGTGTTTTTTAGCCCTGATTAGTGTCCCTGACACGTTTCACGTTGTGGAATTAATGTTCACGTCGTGAACCATGGCGGCTAGGGTTTCTACCACGTGTTATGCACTTAGATAACTGTATCTTCGGAAGGTCATAACTTTTGTATACGAACTCCATTTTTGACGTTCATTTATCCACGCGTTGGTATTTTTGAGTACTACAACTTTCTTCTAGATTCCCACTACTAGAAAAACAGCCTTTTACGACGCTCATTGCACATCGTAAAAGGCTCAGACGACGCGCAAATGCGCGTCAAGGAAGGCCCTGTTATAAAGAGAGACGACGCGCATTTACGACGCTCGTTTACGACACGCAATGCGTATCAAGGAAGGCCCTGTCATAAAGGAAGAGGACACGCATTCGCGTGTCGTAACCTTACGACGCACATGTTAATGACACACAATGCGTATCAAGAAAGCCCCTGTCAAGAAAGGCTACGTCATAAATGAAGATGACACACATTTTTGCGTATCATAATTTTAAATGTTAAAAAAAATATTATTTATAGATTTACTAATTTTCAAATTAAATAATACATTAAAAATCTCATAATACAAAATAAAATACCATAAATAACAAAGATAATTCATCTCACTAATATGTCAAATACAAATAATTATTCCAAAAGTGAGTAAATGTTATAAAACAATGAACTCATTTATATACAATTGCATCATCTAACTTACTATGTGTTAACAACTCTCTGTGTGTTTACTTTTTCTTGAGTCTCGTTTCCTCCAAAGCTGCTAGCCATGCCAAAATATGATATCTTGAGTCTCGTTTCAAGAACCAAAATCACCTTCAATCACCCAATTAAACTCTAATGTTGGTAGACTAAGAGTTCCAGAATCAAGTTTACATCCATCACCTTCAATCACCCAATTAAACTCTAGATCTTCTGTTGTTTGAAAGAAATTGGTGTTTGTAATCTATGAACAAAAAACACAAAGACCAAGGTTAACATTTGCTATATAGAAATAGCTATCAATCAAACAGAGCCAAAAGTGTTTACCGATAAATTAATGCCCCCCCTGCAACAGTTTGTCTTTGATACCTCTGATTCACATGACATGATAACTCAACAACAAACTCATGAGCTTTAGTAAGTTTTGAAGCATAATTATGTTTCATGTGAAGTACACCCCCTGGTCATCTTCCTTGTATCCAATAACTAATGTCATTCAGTTGTTTCCAGTCCTTATCAGTGAATTGCAAAGCTTGATTTCATCACCACACAGTGAAAAAATATTTCTCATTGAATAGAAAAAAAAAAAAGTAACTAAACACCTGAAGTACGATGACATGGAAGCTGCAATCTAAAAGATCAATTAACAATGGTGAATATAAAGTTAATCAGAAAAAGAAAGGCTTCCATATCTTCAGAAGAAAAGTTAAACAGAAAAAGAAAGGCTTCCATATCTTCTCCTGACTTGAAGTTTTGTCCTGATCTATTAGGAGATTTATAATCCAAATCGTACTTTGTACCTAATACAAGAAAAGAAATAAATATAAATGTCAAGTAATCAATCACATGAATATTTGCTCAGGTATCATAGAGAAAGTTGCTTTATATTTCAATGGCATACCTATAACTAGGTAGATTTTTCAAAATTATAATAGGGAGAATTTAAGAAAACAAAAGTACAATGATATTGTAAATAAGTTGATGAAAGTATGTTGTTATTTATTGAATGCAGCCAATGTTAAGAGCATATGAGAGGAATGATAATTGACCAAATGTCATCCCACTGTTAACTGTATACACCTCTGACTTGCAGTACTTGAGGGCAATTTCGGAAATTAATAAATCATATCAGTAAATAACCTTAAAAGGATAAAATGAATGATTTTAATTGCTTACAGCCATGATGTCAGCAATGGCGTATGCTTCTGTTTCAGACCCCACTGTCTCCATTTTTGTCATTCTACAAAAGAAAAAAAATCAAAATCTTTATTGACTTATTTCTTGTATTTAGTAATTTAACCTTAAAAGAAACAAAACAAAAGAAAAAAATCACCTGTTTTCCGGATGAATTAATGTAAAGATAAATAGGCTTAGGTGGATTATCATAATCCAACCACATAAATTGAGCAACAAGAAGCTCAGTCAGTTCAGTTCAGAAACAATCTACAACAACCAAAATTATACTTAAATTCATTATAAAAATAAAGAGTTAAAAAAAAATAAAATAAAAATACATTGCTATTTCTTATAGGCATTCCTAGGAAACAAATACGAGCATCTAGAAGCAATGATGGAAGATCTGGAGGCCGGAGCACTTCTAGGTCTTCCGGAGCAAAATGAGAAGTTTGATCACCTCCTATTCTTTCATAAATTATGACAACTAATTTTGAAAACTAAACTTGAATGTACATTTCTAATTTATCTATATAGCAAATCTAATGTAAAAGTCTAGTGTAGCAAGATGATCAACTTGTTATATTTCCAAGGTTGGGAGGTGTTAAGTGCTTCTCCTGTGATATGTGATGATAAATCTGAATTATAAAGGCATGGGAAAACAGGTAGACTTTAAGTATATGCTTGTTGCTCCAGAGATGTCATGCACAATGAAAGTTAAAATGCAACTTACAAGGAAACAAGGTATAAAAAAAATGTTGATAGATCAAGCCCTAGAACAAGTTTATGTCTTCTAGCGGTATAGTGACTTTCTTTGGTGCAAAGACCTTATTTTTGTTTCTCACAAAATCGATCCCTGTAGAAGGAAAAATATAAAGGAATGGTGAAAATACGGAAAACAGAATGATAAATAGAGATATTAACCTAGTTTTCGTTTCATTCCAAGTTAAAAAAGAAAATATCAAATGAAAACTTATGTCAAATGAGTGTCAAAGTAACCATTAATCTTGCATCAAACTAAAAAAACATACCTACAGCTACAGACAAGCACAATTTACTAAACAGGTAAGAAAGTCTCCAATATAGATTACCTCTTATATGCAAAAGAGAAAAACAGCACCAATACAAATAGAACCCACTCATGTAAGTCCACTCTGATAGAAACCTATCATTTAAAGGTTCTTCATGTTTCCAATGACTATGTTTGATAAAAAAAAATAAAAATGAACAGAAAGACTTCCTAATGATAATAATGAGGGTAAATTGATAATTTAAACTCAAAATGCTGCATTTCGCATAGGGCATCCAATTTGGAAATTTGTTCAATTATTGTGGGATGGAAACAATCAAACAACGTATATTTTATTGATATTATGTTGATAAGCTGCAAGTCTTCTATGTTACCTATTTTAACAGAAGATCTAAGGAAGACTGAATATACTTACTGTACAAACCAAAGTAATAGGAAGGACAATGCAGAGGAAGTCGATTATTCGTCCTCAAAATCCCTCTTTTCTGTCAGATAAAATTACATGAATATGTCAAGGACAACATTAATAAACACCTATTAAATTGCAAGGGAAAAGAATAAAAAAAAAAAACCCCACAAACCTCTGGTTGCTTTAGCAATTGCAGAGCTTGAACCCTTGCAACTTTCCTGGTTTGACCCGTCCCATTACCAGCCAACAAGGTGTCTTTGAGCTGCAACCATAACAAGGTGTCTTTGACCCGTCCCATTACCGACGGTGATCATCATCATCATCTATTGATATATGATGATGATGATGATGATGACCCAGGTTCACTCGGGTTTTTTCCCACACCAAGACAATCCAAAACCGCTACCACACTTGACCTAACATTATTAAGCTCCTCCTTTATTTTAGACATTCCTTGAAAGTAACAAGGTTATATTAAATACAACGCAATTAATAATTAACATTTACACAGATAAAACATTGATCACCTGTAAAGCAGTATGTACAAGTTTATGTGCTTCATTTCTTGAACTTTTCAAAATCCCAATCACATTAGATGCCAATTGATTATTGTTATTGGAAGGAAAGTTGTTTTCATGATTAGAAGTCGTGGGGTCCACAACAGGCCCGGAATCGGGATTAGGCTTTTGCCATGTAGGCATCAGGATTCCTGGGTATGTGTTGCGTCGCCTCAAATTTGCAAGAGCAGAAGCAACCTGATTAAGATTATTTGTTAAAATTAATTTGTAATTTGTAAATATATATGATAATAATTATTTATGAAATAAATGATACCTGATCACTAGCTTCTTTGAGCTGTAATAGTACCATTGCATATTCCTTTTTGAAGCTTTCGGATACATTCATGGGGACACCTGTCTCGTTTTTGTGACTTGATAAGCTGTCATTTACAAGCTTAAGCTCCTTCAATATTGCTTCCTAGAATTCATTCACATCAGAAAAATTAGAAATTTAATTGAATTTATAGAGAAGAAATAATAAAGAAAGTATGAAATGAAGAGAAATACCTTTTTATCGGGTAAGCTCAATGAGAGTGCATGTATATTGGTTTCTCTTGCCTGAATTTGAGAGGCTGCTGCATGCTGATGCTGTGAGATAATAACATTGTCTGCAGCTTTAAGAGGTGCACCAGACCGATTTTGTCCCTAAACAACGTATAATTTTTAATTTTATTAACATATGTTTGGGTATTTTTTTTCAAAAATAAATTTAAGAAAACTAACCAGTTGATGGAGACCGGGTTTTCAATTATACCCAACACACATGAACCTTCACATGGAGCGGGGCAAAACCTTGCCCGTGAACTCCGGGAAGTTATTTGTTTCAAGAAGTTGATCCAATGCCTCACGTCATCTGTTGTGGCCGGGTCGCCCGATGTTTGACCGCATCAGTGACTCTTGATGGTCGGGTCGCCTGTTCGGCATTTTCATCCTCCTTCACCTGAAAATCGAAATTAAACAAAATTACTATTTTACCCCTCAAACAAATTCTAAAGCATTATAAATAAAAAAAGATATGATTCTCACCTGATTAACAGTGTCAATCAACTGATTAACTGTCTCAGTTAGCGACTTGGCTGCCAGCTTCTTAAGATCCTCAAAAGCATCTTTCTCCTTCAACACATCTTCCTCACGAATGTCAGCTTCTTCAGCAGCCAAATCAACTTTTTTTTTAGTTCTTTTCTATGGATTTTGACCATTTTCAACTCGACCCACTAACACTTAATAACTTTGACTTGTGGAGAGAAAACCCATGCTTTAACCTTGTATAGATCATCTCTCGCTTTCTTGAAACAAGCAGCTTGGGACTGGAACAACAATCAAATCACAATTTCTCAAACAAATAAAATACAGGGTTTAGAGCTCATTTTAGAGCCAACTGATATGAAGGAAAAAAAAACCTCATGATACAGATATGCCTTGACCCCCTTTAGCCCATGCCACATTACAGACCCAATCAGCTTGTGGCTTACTACAGAGAGAACCTAAATTCAAATCTCTAACACATAATTTGAAGAAATTGCTGTCTTTGTCATACATGGTGTATGCAATGAATCGATGACCAGGTGAGACTTCTGCTACCTCTTCATATGCATAACCTAAATGAAGTCATGTTAATAGATTAAATGAAGTGGAAGAGAATTAGAGATCGTTGAAAGATGAAGTACATTTTTCCACGATCCCACATTCTGACGTTCTTCAATTCTTATTTCTCCCTCAAATGCGTCCCCCAATTCCCAAATTTCAGACAGCGGTGTTCAAGGGCAACAAGCACAATCAAACTCAATTCCTGACTTCTGGTAGTGGTCGAGGGCAATGCTTCATATTGCACTCAGTCGCTCCACCGCGCTGCTCCGCCTCTTCTCACCCTACCCGGCCTCCCTGCTCCCAAGGCACATTTATTGTTTCTAATGGATCATCTTTTCATGTTATCTTTATTCGACATGCTGGATCAAAATTTGAATAAAGAAATAATGTGAGGTGTTTGAAGGCCTTCTTAAAATCACCCGTATTGGAAATTAGACAGAAACACCTCCAAACCAACGTTCGTTGTTCATTTTTCATGGTTAGATCTTGTACTTTCATGATCCTCCTCAATTTGTTACTCCTTCAGTAGACTTTCATTATTATTATGATGACGGTTTTTTTATTCAGTTCTCAATATTTAGAATGTTATACTTGATTATGTTCCTAAAATTTCCTTGTTTCATTGTGTTTTTTTGGTGAATGTGGTCATCTTACATCACGTAGTCAAGGTATTTGATGAAATGCTTATGCTGTTCTTTAAACATTGGTTCATATGGTATCGTCTATACAGGTGATTGGGGAGATGTTTATCTGAGCTATATATGTTTCCAGCTGAAAAAATATATGTATTCTTCTGGGACTTCATTTATAAACCAAATTTTCGAATTCCATGCTTTTAGTAAGTGGAATAAAATAAGTATACGTGTCACTTGATGCACCACTTTATTGTGATACAAATTATTCTACAACAAATTTTAGATACCCTGTTACTGATGAACCCAATATTCTTAAAGTTATGCAGAGTTCAGATTTTTAGAGACCTCATTCTTCAAAATGATCAGAAAAGAGATAGTTTCTTTCTTGTTGGAGTTTTTTTTTTTATTCTTACTGTTGTATACAACCTTAATTTCTTGTAATTTTCTAAGCTTGAATATAACTTTGGTAATCTTTCTGGTGAACATAGGTGTGTGAACTGTTTGGTATGGTGGGTCCCTCAATGTTAACATATTAAAAAATAAAATTAAGTAAAAAAAAAAAGATAAATCTATTAAAATGGTATATATAGATATCATTTTATATGGATTAGAAACAAACCATGTAAGGAATTGAAACCACAAAGACCATTTTCATCAAGGAAAAAAGTTAATGATTTAACCTATATATGACTTCCAATGATGCATGGGACTATTTATGTAATGTTTTCTATAATCTCAATTCCTTCTTGTAAATCCACTGGTAAGTTCCAATTCTTCTAATGAAGCACGGGACTATTTATACATACCAAACCTTTTAGCAACTTCAAATGACTTTGGTTTTATGATGATAGCAAGGTACTTCCGTTTCTTTCTTAGGGCATTTTACTTTGAAAAATGTAACAGTTAGTTATAGCATTGATGTTCAGAAAGAATGTGTCTTTGAGGACTCACCAATTGATAAGTGGTATAAATGCATATCACATTGTTATTTAATGTGTTGTAACCTGTTCATTTTAAAATGTCGAGTATGTGTAATTTGTATCTTGTTTATATCTCAAACAATTCAAGTTTTTCATTTTACTAATTAGGGCTAAATCTAAGAAACAAAATTTTGATCTGTTTTCTAATAGCATCCTAATTTCATTCATGCGTATTACCGCAATATACTTTGAAAACCTATTAATTGTAGCAATATCATCCCGATACAATGCAAGTTTCACTATTATAATTGGATAGATTCTTCAAAGTATTATGTCCTAATAACAAAATAAGTTGAAAATGCGATCGATATGGTCTGATAGTTTCATCATTTACCTTTTCCATCCCTAAACCAACATTTGGTCACACTTTTAGTCCCTGGTTGCCCGTCCATTAAATCCATCGACTTGACCATACGCATAAAAAGTAATATAACATAGAGGCGATTTTTGTAATTTAGTCTTGTTTGTTTCTTTGTTTCAATAACTTTGAAGAGCATGTTAAATTCTTTTCACAGATTCTATGCAATAGACCAGGGACTTGTGTGCCTATATGCGTGCTTTGATTCTTTTTCAAGGTTTGAATGCTCATGAATACCATCTTTGACTGACTCTTAAGGTTTAAATGCAAGAAATAGCAACGTGTTTCATTGATTTGTTTATTATAGCACACCATTTTCAGTGTCTCCTATTACAACATTGTAATTTGGTAAATATATATATATATATATATATATATATATATATATATATATATATATATATATATATATACACAGTTCCAGTTTTAATATTATTTCAATCGTTTCTGTACCCAATACGTAGGACTACTGTGTTTCTATGGCTAATTCTGTTGGAAAGAGGAAGTTATATATACAGAAGTTTCATGTTTCATCAGGAGGCTTACCAGATTGCTTCAGGGGAATTTGATAGGTGTTATTAGGAGTATGAGTGAGCTTTCTTCAATCCAATAACAGGGGAATCTTTATGAAAAGATTTCAATCAGGTAAGAAACAGTGCAACCAGGAGGGAGGATGGCAAATTTCTTCTACAAAGATCGATCAATTAAGAGAAGGAAGGAAGTTTAGTAGATCGTGTAAATCAATGGATCATATTTTGTTATACTTTTCATTTTTTTTTAATTTCCCCAACTCTATGAACGAGAAGGAGCTGTGGCAGTTGTTAATCAGAAAGGTTTCGGGATGCATTATTCAGTGGTAGATGACAGGTTGTGTGGTTAGAGATCGAAAAAATAGAGGTTAGGAGGCAAAGTGTGCATGAAGACTAATAAAAAGAACCTTACTTAGTCAACAGAAGCCATAGAAGTGTTGAGTATCATGAAGAAACGAATATGAGTTCATTTGTTTCAATACATTACTGGGAACATGATTTATTTATTTTTATGGTGGAGTTGCATACTATAGTTGTTGCAAATGAGGTAATTAAAGCCTCTACTCCGTGTATCTCCAATGTGGATACCGAAAACAAGGTTACTAATGCAAGTGTGAATGGTAATTATGACCAACTCTAATGGCTTCAATGGTAATCAAGATGTTGGTAAGGAGATGAACCGGTTTTTTTTAGCTCATATAGAGGTCAAAAAGACCACTGATAAGTGATGACTTGATGTAGATGATCTATTTTCAGCCTCAAATGACCATATTTCGGAGTCTAACTTTGTTGCAAAAATACTACTCATAACTTGATAGAATATCAAGATGAGATGGAAAATGAAAATAGATGAGAATATGATATTCTTTTGACAACAACAAGAGTAACAATAAAGATATAGAGGACGGTAAAGATAAGATATATAAATTAATATGTGATACTATTACTATCCTGTCTCGTCATGTGGAGAAAAAGGGGCGACCTAATTAAAACTGTTGCTTCTAAAATTAAAAAAACAAATGATACAAGAATTCCCATATTAAGGTGTAGCAAGTGAATTTTACGTAGTATCCAAATAAATTATAGAATCCTATCAAGGATTTGAGCTTTTGAGTCCATAGACACGATAGACATTGTTGATAAGGCAATGGTCAAGATTTCAGCTCAAATTATGATCAAGAAATAGCACACAATTCAAGAAGTGTTTAATTTTGATACCTATGCTTAAAAGAATCATGTGGAAATAACATACAATTCCAAATGTGTTCAATTTTGTAGTAGAGGCTGGTATATATTATCTTAATTCTTCTGGAAAATTAGGTCATAGACGATTGAGTTTGCAATAGCATCAGGCTACCCATTTTCCCATTGCATCTATTTTCAACTCATGCCAGTCATGTAGCCTCACTTTCTCAATCCTTTTCATGTGAAGGATGAGACCTTGAAGATCCCCCCTCACCCTACATAGAAACGAAAAGTAAGAAAATTTTAAAAGTTATATATTATACAGGATACAACACAAAATGTTATGAAAACAGATAGTTACTTGGAAGCGTATATATTATGTTACATTTTCTTGATTCAACAGAATTAATGAGTCCTGGTGACACATCTCTTCCAAATTCTTGAAGCAATTTAAGCATTCTCAACATGTTGCTTGGTTCTATCCTAAGAATGAATCTATCAATAAGATTCCTTAAAATCAAGCAATATGCTTACACAATTTCATATTGTCTTCCAAAGTGTAATAGTTTGTTATTAACATAGAATTTACCCAAGAACAACATCTACTGAAAATTATTAATCTATGAATTGGTCTCAATTGCATATTACACTGTGACAGAGAGTGGTGAGAATTCAATCCTAGATTTTGACCCTTAGTGTTTAGACATGGTATGAACAGATATTTGTAGTATTCAATGATTCCAAATTTTAATATTTCCACTTCAATGCATTCAATGAAAGGTTATAACTCCCTTATTTTGTTACACCCTAAACGAATTGAGAGCTTTGATTCCTAATATTCGGTTGTGTATTCCTTTTGTTTACGCGATGAGAGAAAAGGTTTGGGTGTCAAAAAGTATACCTCATGTGCGCGACGACTTATGTCAAGCTTCCTTAGGGATAAAGCTCTGAACCAAAACTTTTCCTTTCATACTGAAAATAGATTAAAAGTGATATGTTAATCATTGTTCACAAACAACCTACTTGGACAAAGTAGTCATACGTATTCGGTCCATATATATTTATGTGATCCAACATATCGAAAGACTTAATCAATTGAGTGTGCTGATAAGCCCCACACGGAGTAAAGAGAATAAGCAGGAAATTCACAACCAGAAGCAACTAACTGATAATGAATTATATAAATAATAGGGTTTTCCCATTCTTTCAAGAGGAAGGGCCTCTCAAATACTTTTTGCTACTAGAATTTTCTTAGCTGACAATCATCTAGAAAATGAAAAGTTTAAATACTCCTCAGGGTAGGGTATAATGGATGCCACCACACCATACCAAACCAAAAATCTTATCTTATGGGTCAATAAAATCAATCGTATATATGATCCTGTTTAAAAGATTTAATTTATGACATATGTATTAAAATAAATGGGTCATTATCCATCTATTTATGGAAAGTGATGAAGGAATTAATTCGCTTAATTCTCTTGAAAATGAACTTAACACAAGAATCAATTCACTTGATTATGACAGAATGGAAACTTCAACTGTGTGCAGAAAAGAAACAGAGCATGAGCGAAACAGGGGAGGAAGAAATCTGGGAAAATTACTTGTTCTCCATATTTTATTACTGAAAAAAAACTTAATTAAAAACGTCACACAACCATACCCTATTTATACTAAACTAATTGGAATCCTAAACTAACTCAAAACTTTAAATTAGGAAAGTCTTCCCAAAATACCCCTGGGACCAAAACGGTCCCCGTTTCTGAATCAATGTTTGGGTCTATTCATTTTATAAATTAAAAGTACAACTTCTATTTTTTACATTTTATAAATAAATAAAAAATCTTATCTTATAGGTCAATAAATATATATATATATATATATATATATATATATATATATATATATATATATATATATATATGATCCAGTTGTTTAAAAGATTTAAGTTATGATCCATCTGTTAAAATAAGTGGGTCATTGTCCATCTATTTAAAGAAAGTGGGTGATGGGTGAGGTAGGTCATTATACATAAGACATGACAATAAAAATATATTTAACAAAAATCACATCTACCTTGAATGTCGGGGCCGTCTGGAACGAATTTACGATGATAGGGAAACAATACAATGCCACATGTAACAAACTGTTGGTTTCTTAGGATGAATTGTCCTGTAGTTGTCTGAAAAGGAGAGAGATCTCCACCAATTATGTGATTCCATGACTTGTAATAACCCAACACACCTTCTTCTTCATCCTTCTTCTCTCCATCATCCTCATACACAAGACTCACCCCACACTCCTTTGTAAGTTCATTACGCCGTGCTGTAACAGTAATAGTAACATGGTCACCAGGCTCCATCTCATTCATCCCAAACATCCAATGACTTAACACCACCCAACACTTTGGATCTACAAAGTATCTGTCCCAGAGACGTTCGTATATCCACATGCGGTTCTTTGTTATATTACTAACTGTGATCATCGGTGTAACGGGGAAATGATCAAGTAGAATTAAAGGCCTCTCATACAAAACTCTCCTTGTCTGCAGAAAGCAGAAGTTGATTCCTTTAAGGAGGTTGTTTGGAGATGATGATGGGATTGTAAATGATATCGATGGCCCTGCGCTTCTATGAATAAACCAACTCGGCATCTCCTCTGTGTCATATGTCGTGCTGAATATTCCAAATTCATATAACATCTGCCAAATACAAACATCTTAATTAAATGATTATATTATAGTATTTTATGTATTCAAATAAAGAAAGACAGTTAACTAGACAAAACCTGCATTCGAGATTTCCTAGGATTATTTCCCCCATTCCTTTTGTTATGGAGTAAATTACTCCAGCCCAAGCTACGTAATACCTTTTCCTCAACACCCACCATTGCCTGGATTTTCACAATGCCTTCAATTTCATACGACCCAGGGATGTAACTTCTTGGAAAATAAAATAACATAAGGGGAGACATTTTGGGATCAAATACAACTTTTTCTAAAGACTCATGATCAAAATAGAGCAACATTGTTTTTAGTGTGTGTGGAGGATGTTCGACTGACTTCAATTTATTACAGATTTGCATACTAAGTATCTCAAGCTTAGGAAGGGTTCTCACACAATTGGGCATGGAATGGATAGGATTGTTATCTAAATATAATTCCTTTAACAAGGACACACTACTGAAATCCATAGGAAAGGATTCAGTGGACAAATTATTATTTGCAAGCGAAAGCCTTACTAGAGATCTCAACAAAGAACTTGAAAAAAACTTCAAATGGCTTCGCATAGCACCCACAAATGTGGAGGAAGAGGTTCTTGTGCTTATGCTAATGTTTTTGTTAGCATTGCACATGTCCAGTGAATCCATATCTAAATCCGTATCCTCAGTTTGAGATTCACCCAGATTACAACCATCTAGCAACATTGTTTTTACCTTCTTTAGCATGCCTATACTTCTTGGAAGGTTTTTAAGCTCCTTGCAGTAGCTTAGATCGATGAGGGAAAGTTCAACACACTGCTCAATTGATTCACAAACTTCAAGCAAACCAGTGCAATTTCTAACTATTAACCTCTCGAGAGCTGGGAATTGGTCAAAGTCACCAAGACTACAAAGTTGTTTACAGAAACTTAAAATAAGAACCTTCAATGATCCAAGCAACCTTTTGTTTTTTAAGCATAATCCATCCAACTATAAAAACTGAAAGAAGTTAGAATGGTAGTGAAATTCAACTAAGCATGAAAAATAATAAATGAAGATAAGTTAGCTTTTTCCTCTTCTCAAGTCGTTGTGGATTACTATAACAACCGATAAATGATTCAATATTGCTATATGACATGTCAAGAGCAACAAGATTCTCCATAGGTAGTTCTGAAGGTATATACTTCAAATGAAACCCATGCACACACAAACCTCTTAGTTCCAGTGGAAAGTTCTCATAAGACCCATTCATGTGAACATAATTGAGTTGTAGTAGCATCAAATTATCCATCATACTTAATGCATCTGTTTTTAGCTTATATGATGCACCCAACATCTCTTTCTCAAGCATGCGCATGTCAAGGGCAAGGCCAACAAGATTTCCCTTACCCTATGAAGAAACATAATGCAAATAAAAAGTTAAGACCATACAAAATATTTTTAACATGCATACTTTTAAAACCACATATGACCTCTTACCTTTTTTTGTTTTAATACTCTGAATGACTCCTCATGACACCATAATAGACTTCTCTTCAATGGCTTGTCATGTGATTCTTGATGTACTTCGAATCTTCCCATCTCTTGAACCAACTGATGCATCTTCAATTTGTTTTTACCTCCAATTGTAAGAAGGAATCGGTCGAGGAGATTCGGGATTCCAGATCTTATGTTTATATTGCATGCCTGTAATATTGTTTCAGCAACATCTCTATCTATTTCAACAAAAAAACAAGCAATATACTTAAACAAGTCCTTATCATTTTTGGATTGCAAAGAGTTAAAGCTCATTCTCAAGACATTATTCACATGAGAATCTGTTTCTTTCTTTAGCCCTTCTATGCACCCTTCCCAATAAGTTACATCTCGATCATATAGAAATTTTCCCAATACTACAAGAGCCAATGGATGTCCTTGACAATACTTCACAAGCTTATAAAACACCCCTTCATAACCTGTCTTGGGATATTTGCATTTGAATGCATGGAGACACAAAAGTTTCCATGATTCGGTCTCATGTAAGCCTTGAAGCAAGAGCTCTGTATGCTTTGGTTTAATGTCTGTTTTGAATAGTGCACACCTCTCTATCAAACGTCTTTCCTTTGTGGTTATAATTATTTTGCTTCCTGGATGAAAACCTTTGCTCCCAAGTAATGCATCCAACTGATCAAGGGTGTTGATATCATCAAGAGTGAGAAACACCCTTTTACGAGCTACAATATTCTCTATCTTTGAGGTGTATACCAAAGCATCATGAACTTTAATTGAACTTGTTTTTGAGATGTCATTGCAAAGTTGTTTTTGTAAATCAAGCAACCCATTAAACTTTCCATCACAAACCCTACTAATATCTTCAATACAACTGCTTTTGTGGAATTCATGAGAATATAGCCCATAGACATGTTTGGCTAAATATGTCTTCCCGATCCCACCCATACCCGAAATAGTGAGTATGTCTGCCGTATGTGAGGATCCATCTTTCAACCATGAAGTTACAAAGTTAATATGATTTTGCATCCCAATAAGTTGTGGTCCAACTCTCCTTAAGTGTACATGTAATTTATGATGGATGTCCTTCACAATTTCTTCAATAAACTCTGTCTCTAACCTTAAATCAGATTTTATAAGAACCACAAAAGTAACAAACCAGATTTGGAGATTTAATTTGTCCAACGATTCAAAATCAAAATTATATCAAAACTAATAATTATAATCAAGTCCTTCACATTAAAACGATATTGTGTTTACACTTCTATGTTCTACCCATACAGGAATCCAATGTGTAAGGTCAAAAATATTTATGTATAAAAAGTTAAAAGATGCCAATGTAATACCAGATTTCACTAATGGGCAACCTAACTTCACTATGTTTACACAAGACCATCATAACTATCATTGTGCTGTATTTGAAAAAGCATGCCAGTTAAGTTATTTATCATAAAAGACACTATGACTTGAAGGTGGTACTAACATTCATGTGTTAATCAAACAAAATTAAAGGATAATGGAAATACGGGTAAGAAAGCGGTTACCTTCCTTTTATGTCATTTCCTTTTAAATTAGCAACATCTACAAGTGCCTTAATCCATCGGTCCATCTTTTGAGCTAATTGACTTCTTTTATCTGCATATGTCTCTGCCTCCATTGTCTGTTTATGCTTGGCGATTGCATCTCCAAAGCTACTTTGCTGCTTCCTGACATGAGTGGGCTCCACATGATAAAAGATTGGGATGACAATATGGTTGGATGTGATACGCTGCTCAAGGATCAGCACCAATTCATCCAGGCACCATGTTGAAGAAGCGTAGTTCTCAGACAACACGATAATAGAAGCCCGAGATGCCTTAATTGCAGTCTCCAGTTCCGGTTTCAGATCTTCCCCTGTTTCAATCTCTTCATCATCCAAGAGGGTAATGATATTGGCGTCTATAAGTGCCTCATAAAGGTAATTGGTGAAACTAAGACGAGTGTCTAGACCTCTAAAACTTAAAAATACATCATATCTATAACCATCAGTTGATGAAGGAGGGACACGAGATGATGAACTATAACCACAAGTTGATGATGAAGAAGAAGTTCCTTCTGAGAGGAGTTCAGAGAGAATAACCATTATGAGTTATGGGTTGATGAGCCTTCACCCTTCTCAGTTATTAGTTATAAGAGTTGGTTTCACCGGCTTTCTTCACTTGTTCTTTAATGTTAGGACCTGTACAAATGCCAATGCATAATAGCAAATTATTGATTACAATATGAAACTTAAATCTCATCTGCTTATAGCAAAGTATTGATGTAAAATAAAATTTACATTGCCATGTGAGTTATTTAAAAAGTAGCTGCTCACTTAACTGAATTGAGTTTTTTTTTTTTTTTGGCTATGTTGGGTTGCAAGAAAATATGTAAACAATTTGTTCATTTGTTGTACAATATCTCTATTTTGTTTTGTTAAACCCACATAAGTATCCCTATTGTTGTCTAAATAAAATTCATCTGAAGTTCACTTACATAAGAAAACAAATCAACACCAAATATCATTCCAAAAACAACTAAATGCACTGCTAAAAGTCTTGAACAAGGAGTGTTCAGCACTTCACTGCAGGAACCAAAATCTACACATACAAAGTCGTAAATACTTGTGTGCTAAAGATTATGAACTCACTAACAAAAATAGTGAGTGAGGATTCTAGTGCTCTAAATCTTCTTGTCTGCTAAAGCTTTCAGGCCCCGTTTGTTATGCAAGATAGGGACAAAATTGCAATTTTTGATCTCTCGATCTCTCGTGTATGAAAAAGACATAAATGCCCTGGTGATCCTCATAACTGGAATGCCCTTGAAAGTATATCTATCTTGACAAATGCAGCCTAAAAGTTAGATCATGTAGCCTTCTGTCTAACTATATCAATTTGTTGATTCATTTAGTAGGTGAAACAAATCCACTTTACCAAAATAGGAAAAACATATACAGCCAAGAAAGGTGTCAAACAGAGACTCCATTGGCAATGGAGATAGTCATAGAACTTGAAGACTGTTTTCTGTATCAGCAGTAGAACAACTTATGGAAGAAGTCGAAACACTCGAAACCGGAAGGTATGAATGATTTAAGTCACAAATGACATCAGCTTAGCTGACCAATGTCATATCATATGTCTTAAATCCACAAAGAAATTTCTTATCAGTTTTGTACCTCCAAACATAATTACATAAACCTAATCCAGCTTAATTTCAAACAGAAAGACCAAAATCCTAATTTTGTCTTCACAGATCCACAAGTTTTGAACAAGGGGAACATCAGCTAGCAGGTAATCTAGAATTATGACAATCGTAAATTGAAGTTTCTTGATTTTGAGTTTTTGGTTTATAATTAAGGATCTATAACATCATTAAAAAAGAACCAAACGTAAAAATTGTGTTTATGAATTCAAAATATAGAGTGATTAAGGAAGGAGTTTTTGAGAATCCGAGAATTGGACTGTAACTGATATGTAAACTAAACAAAAGTAGCTGAAATAAACAAAATTTTAATCACCTGTTTATGAAAATTCAAATGATTATGATGTGATATGTGATTGATAAGTGAAATTCTTAGAAAGTCAAAATTAGCTTGTAAGGATGAGCAGAGTTTACATAAACCTGAAGTAGCGATAACAGAGGAAAAATGAACAGAGACAACGACCAAGAAAGATGAGCAGTAAGTCAGCAGGGAGTCGACAACGAAAGGAAGGGAGAGGGCGAGAGACAATAAATAAACAACGAAAATGTTGGTGTTTTCTTACGCGTTGGGATTGGAGGCTTTCATGGGTTCTTTCCAAAAAAGAAAAAAGAAACATGGTTTTGCTTTTTTTGAATTTCTTTTGAATTTCCTTTTTTATTTTTTTATTTTTTTTCTGGAATGGAAGACTAAATTACAAATTGCTCCTTTATTGATAATTTCACTTTGAGGACAAATTTAAAAAACGACACACAACGATCCATCCTTATGGTCTTAATTTCTTTCATTGGTTGTCACTTTTACCAAATCTATTAAACTTTTCATTTAAGTTCAACTATAAAAAGACTTTTTTAACCTTCTTTTGTCATGTTTCATTTTTTTCTCTGTTATATGTGAACTCCCAACCCCATCTCACCTATGACCTACCATCCACCACCAGATGTAGTTACTTGGTAGGGATAGCAAGTGCTACTCCTCAATATCTCCTCAAAAGTAAAAAAAAAATGGATTTTATATATTTAATCTAATGTGCACCTAATGCAAATCCAACTAAACATCTCACTATTGGCTAAATAAAAAATCCAAGTAAATAGCCCATTATGTGAATCAATTAGCCAATTAAGGCCATTACGTGTGAATCAATTACTAAAAAGGTATATGACATTCTTCAATAGCATAAGGGAAAAAATGAGTTCTCCTCCCCTCCTTCACTACAAGTCCACACCATAAATAACAAAAGCTTGACATCTTCTCATACTTGCTCATTCTTCTCAAAAGCTAGGCTTTTTTTCCCACTAGCAAAATAAAGTATTACCTTAACACTTTAGTTAATGGGATAATGTCATAAAAAACCTTAAGTTTGGTAGAAAATATCGGTTTTACCCTTCGGCAGATTTTTGGTTCGTTTATACCGCAAATTTGTCATTTTTTTTTTGTTGGTTTTACCCTTGTTACCTGCAATAGCAGGTTTCCAGGTTATTATTAATTATTTTTTTGCGAAAAAAACCCTTGAGTTTACAAATATTTTGCAAAAAAAAACCCTTAAGATTATAAACATATAAAATATAAATATATATTCAAAATTTGATAAAACTAAATAATTTTCTACTAAAACATATTTTTAGCTTTACATACGGTAACTTTTATATTTGTTTGATATAAACTTTTTATATTTAAATTTTAAAAAAGTTACTTAGTTTTAATAAAATTTGAATATATTTCTTAATTAATACTTTTACTTTTCAAAACAAAATTAGAAAACATTTGTTAGTTAATAATTAATTATGCTAAAATAGTTAATATTAATAATATGGTATCAAGTACATTCAATTAATTTTTTTAAAAGGTAAATAAAAATATTTTATATGTTTAAAAGGTTTGTATTTTAGAAATACTAACATATCATATTTTTTATTTGTTTAAATACATAATAATATTATCATATATTTTTTTTATAAAAATATCATAAACATTTTAAACATATAAAATATAAATATATTTGTCTAATGTATTATATAAATATATTTATTTTAATAAAAAAATATGATAGTTTATTATTTCTGAAATACAAACATTTTAAACATATAAAATATTTTTATTTTTCTTATAAAAAAAATTGAATGTAACTAATGTTATATTATTATTAGCTAACAGACGTTTTTTAATGTTGTTTTGAAAAGTTTAAGTATTAATTAATAAATATATTTAAATTTTGATAAAACTAGGTAACTTTTTTAAAATTTAAATATAAAAACTTTATATCGAACAAATATAAAATTTATCGTACATAAAGTTAAAAATATGTTTCAATAGAAAATCTATTTAGTTTTATAAAAATTTGAATATATATTTATATTTTATATGTTTATAATCTTAAGGGTTTTTTTGCAAAATATTTGTAAACGTAAGGGTTTTTTCGTAAAAAATAATTCATAGTAACCTGTAAACCTGCTATTGCAGGTAACAAGGGCAAAACCGACAAAAAAATGACAAGTTTGCGGCATAAACGAACCAAAAATCCGTCGAAGGATGAAACCGATATTTTCTGCTAAACTTAAGGTTTTTTATAGCATTATCTCTTAGTTAATTTACTTATTCAAATTGAAATCCTAAAATTAATCAATTAATTCTTCATTTGTTATTTATTTATGTTATTGGTGAAATTAGGTTTAAATATTCAACTATGAATTTTAAAACTTTAATATTTTTTTTTGGAAATTCTTTTATAAGAAAGTTGAATGTTGGTACTTCGTAGTAGTGATGAAAGTGGGTGATGATTTAACGAGCGACGCGTATGTTTGTTAAGATTGAAAAATGATGAATTGTTTTCACTACAAGAAATATCAGTATTAGCGGCGACATGTAATTGACGCGTTACATGTCGTCGCTAATACCCGGTGTCGCCGCTAAAGGCGTCGCCGCTAATGATGCTACAGTGTCGATCCGCGTCAAATCAACCCTGTCCGTTCGATCTTTTTTTAATCCATCGGTGGGAAATGAGGAAAAATGGCGCTATGTTTTCCCTCCAGGGGTGTCGCCGCTAATACCCTATTGTCGCCGCTGAAACCCTAGTGTCACCGCTAATACGCGTCGCCGCTAATACTCATCGTAGATAACCGCCCAACTGCGTCACTTTCGTGTTCATTATGCTTCCTTTCACTCCTCCAAAGTAACCGGCGACTGCACCTCCGACGACCTCGTTTGCGCCATAGGACTCGTCTCCGGCAACCATTACCGCCGACCACTAGTGGAGCTCCATTATTACCGGCGACCACACTCATTTCCGGCGACCACACTCATTTCCGGCGACAAAAGTTCGATTTAAGGTCCGATTTCTTCCCTATTTTCTATTCAACTTCTATTTTGAAGTTTTCTTTACTAGTTTAAGTGTTTAATTTAATGTTTTTTGCCGCATCTATTGCCGGAATTGTTGCCGGAAAACTGGATTTCTTACCGGAAAATCGCTAAATTACACTACCACAGGTTCCTTTTCATGAATTTTGAGATTATATATTTGATTTGTATGTTTTTGTATGTTATTTGTATTGTTATTATTTGGAATTTGCAATGAATTGTCGCGGAATTTTTTATGTGTTATTTGTATGTTTTTGTGTGTTTTTTGTATAGTTATTATTTGGAATTAGGTTGTTATAATAGAAAAATAAGTATGATGCTATAATGACTATGTGTAGGAAAATGTTTATATGTATTTGTATGTATAGTGTGTGTATCTATGTATGTAATGTATGAAAAACAAAGTGTGTATATTACAAAGAGTAATTTTCAAATCAAATTTAATATTTATGTGGTATTTTTATGTTTTTGTGTGTTTTTTGTATGATTATTATTTGGAATTAGGTTGCTATAATAGAAAAAGAAGTATGATGCTATAATGAATATGTGTAAGAAAATGTTTATATGTATTTGTATGTATAGTGTGTGTATCTATGTATGTAATGTGTGAAAAATAAAGTGTGTATATTACAAAAGAGTAATTTTCAAATCAAATTTAATATTTATGTGGTATTTTAGTTTTAAAATTATTCATAATCATAAATTGCTTTGTAAAACTATTAAATTAAATTTTCTATTATTAATTTAGATATTAAATATAGTTATAAGAAATATTGTTATTTATAATCATAAATTGTTTTGTAACGGAGGTGATGGCCGATATTATGGGCCTTGGTCACGGTGGTGATGGAGCTGGGGATCCACCATCTCCGGGAGGCTTTGGTCGCGGGCAACATGAACAGGATGGTAAGTTTTGTTATGATATATTTAATAGTTATTTTAACTAATTTATTATAAGTTATCGTGACTAATATTTTTAATTGTATTTTTTCAGTCGAACTTCCAAAGAAAAGAAGGGGCTTGTCAAAGAATATAGAGCTAGGAAAGTGGATAAGGGCAAACAAGGGAAAGACTGTGGATTTAAATTTTGACAGGGAGATCACATATTTCCCTGTCGGGAAGCCTGCTAATTGGTTCACACATGAAATTGGGAGGTATTTGTGGAACAACGTCCCTTTAAACGTATCTGGTTGGGACAATGTTTCCCCCGCGTTAAGGAATGCGACAGTTATGCATCTAAAAGTAACTTGAATAATATTTTATTTGAATAATATTTTAAGTTTCTTTGTGATTGTTATTTAATTAACTAACTTTTTTTTGTATTTGTAGAATAAGTTTGATTTGGATAAGGTTAACTTGGATCCGGAGCGTGCACAATTGTTGCGGAGTATTGATTCGAGTCTTGCAAAAGTTTACAGAGGCCGAAAAAGTAAAGCTCATTCTTATTTTAAGGATATCGGGGGGCCTGCAGATATCCCAATGGCACTAAACAACCCCCCCCCCCAATGGTATGTCACCAGAAAATTGGGCGAAGGCAATCGAACATTTTCAATCGCCCGAATTTTTAAGTCGTTCAGCGTCAAACAAAGAAGTCCGTGCAAAACAACTAGTTGTAAACAGAGGGGGGTCGAGCTCGTACAGTAATGCATGCTTCAAAGAAGTAAGATATTATATATTTAAATGTTTATTTAAAGTATAATAAATCTTTTTTTTGTTAAATAGGATATCACTCGAATCGAAGCATTCCGTAAGGCTAATTCCAATCGCCAAGGGGTGTTTTATAGTGCTGCAGTCGAGCAACAATACGTAAGTGGTTAATTTGTATTTTTCATATACGTTTTTATATCGTCATGGGTATTTAGTAATATATTTTTATGATGTTTATCATTTTTTGAAAATACAGAATGATTTACTTCAGGAGATCAATCAACAAACCCAAGCTTCTTCTTCAGCAAGCGGTCTAACGCCAAGTGATACAAGAAAATGTTTTGAAAATATATTGGGTGTTCGACGCGGACATATTAGAGGCATCGGGCGTAAACCCCTACCATTGTGTCCATGTATGATCAAGAACAACCGATGACACAAGAACCACCACAATCACAGGTAATTGTTTGTTTAAGTTGAAAAGTATAATGCTATAATGCTATAATGATATGTTGGTAGTTTTTGAAAAATATAATACTATTATGATATATTGGTAATATATTTTGATTTCTTTGTAGATGGAAATGCTGCAAACGATACTGAAGGACCCGGCATGTTCTGCGGCATTAGAAGAGTGGTTTCGTTTATTGTCATCACCAAATAATGACGAAAATGATGAGAGTGACGGCAAGGAGTAGGAATTTTAGGATTTTATGAAATTTTTGTTTAGAAGAATACTTTAATTAGGTTGTATGGACTAATATTTTTTTATTGTGGATTAATATTTTATAATTGTTATATTGTTTTTGGTTGTGTATGGGTTAAATATAGCTGATTTTATAAAATTGTAGATTTATATTCCATAAAATTGTAACAAAAAAAAATGAAAAGAGTCTTTTGCAGCGACGCTTTTAGCAGCGACGTGTTTTTAGCAGCGACAGGTAAGTATTAGCAGCGACAGGTAAGTATTAGCGGCGACAAGAAGGGAATTAGCGACGACGTATTTGCGGCGACGCGTCGCCGCTAATATATTTAGCGGCGACAAACCTACTCTTTTGCGGTGACGGCTGTCGCCGCTAAAAAAAATGATTACACAAAGATGTTAACTTTAAAATGTAATATATATATATATATATATATATATATATATATATATATATATATATATATATAATCAGGAATTTTTTTGGTGCTACCCCTACTAAAACTTTTTGGGTCCGTGTCAGCCTACTACCGCCACCAGCACCCACTACCATATTCCTTTATATTTTGCTATTTTTTAGGGAATAAGATTGCTAGAAAATACAAAAGGATAATGCAAAACAGTCTTATTCTCTTATGCAAAATCACAAAATAGAAACTAGATGTAAAATTTGAAAACTTAAGCTCGTTTTAAATGTCCATTCAACATTTACTAAATCATAAAATATATGAAAACTCAAAAGAAAATTAAAACCCATAAATCGATTACGGTATGAAAATCATCTTCATATTCGTTTTGGTTCATTAAATCTTATAAGAAGTTTAGGAGAAAACAAATTAATATGAAATCGAAGTTAAACCCCACAACCCGTACTTGCAAAAAAATCCAAATCTATATTTTAGAATGTGCACCCATGGCTATAATTTTTCTTAAATCCATCTTCAAGGGTTGTGGTTTTGGAAGTCATCAAAACAAACATGTTTTTGATTGGTATGTTGACAAAAACATTATGTAATATCAAATCTTTGTAGCCCATATCCACATAGCTAACTAGATGTTAAAACACCGATGTAAGACCTTGTTTTCATATATTTATAGTAATAGAAAAGAAGGGTGTAGATGTTCTTTGATGTCTATTTCATAAAAAAAAATTCCAAAAAAAAAATTATTTGAACATATTGTAACTTGTTAATGTTATGTACAGGTTTTAGGAATTAGAGGTTCAAATGTTTTCTATGTTGAGACTTGAGAGTATTGCAAGAGTGAAAAAGTTATTGGAGCTGTCATTTGGAGTTGTTTGACACATGTAGTTTATTGGAGCTGCTTCAAGTTTTTGGTGCAAGTTCTATTGTAGTTTTAGGTTGCTTTTTCAGGTGCTCTTAATATTCTTGGGGATTACTAGTGGTGTGGATATTATTACTTTAAAGTGGTGGTGCACTGAATGCAATTCAGAGTTTTCAAATAGGGTGGCTTTCATTGTTTTTCATTCTCCAGTTGCTTTAAGTGGTTTAATTACTCCAATAACTAGCTTTGGCTAATTGCTGCTGCGTTTTGTACATCTCCTCCTTGTTCAACTGTTGCATTGCATCTACTCACATCATTTAATTAGTTTTGCTTCATTAGTTTTGGTTTTTGTGTTGTATTCAAATTAGGTTGGCTATTACTGTTTTCTATTTCAATCGTCTCTGTACCCTTCCAGTTTTAATTTTATTTCTTCGCCTTTCTAAATATATAAATATTAAAAAAAAAAACTATTATTCGTTTTTGAAATTTATCCCAACCAAATCTAGCTGTTTTAGGTCAAATGGTGGTAGCTGATGGCTGCTGTACATGACAGAGGTTAGGGGCATTAGGTTTATTCTAGGGATACAATCTGTGTTAGTTTCCATGGCTAATTAATTCAATGGGAAAGAGGAAGTTTCATGTTTCATCAGGAGGTTTAACCTCAATGGGATGCTTCAGGGGAATTTGAAAGGTGTTATTAGTAGTATGAGTGGGCTTGTTCATGAGCTTCTATCAAGAATCGTGTCAGACTGATGTAGACTGTAGCTGATTTATAGAATCCTATAAAGGATTTGAGATTTTGAGCCCATACACGTTGGACACTGTTGATAAGCCAATGATTGAGACCAAAAATTCAGTTCAAATTATGATCAGGAAACAGCACACAATTTGAGAAGTGTTTAATTTGAACAACTATGCTTAAAAGAGTCGTTGGGAAATACCATACAAATTGAAATGTGTATAATTTTGCAATAGAGGCTAGTTAGTATACACTTCTGGAAAAGTAGGATATAACTCCGAGTTACACAATTGAGTTGCAATTGCATTATGTTGCGGAATGTATTCATCTTCTATTCATGCCACGTAGCCTCTTTTTCTCAATCCTTTTCATGTGAAGGATGACACCTTTAAGATTCCCCCTTACCCTACATGGAAAGGAAAAGTAAGAAAATTTTAAAAGTTATGTAAGTTTACAGGATATAATACAAAATGCTACGAAAACAGATAGTTACTTGGAAGTGTAAATATTATGTTGCATTTTCTTGATAGAACAGAATTAATGACTCCTAGTGATAAATCTCTTTCCAAACTCTTGAAGAAATTTATGCATTCTCAACATGTTGCTTGGTCCTATCCTGGGTAGACATCTATCAATACACTACTAGAAACATGGGTTTTACCGTCGGAAAAATCCGTCGCTATTCCGTCGCTAAATGCTGTTTGCAATGGATCAGCGACAGATTCACTCCATAGGTAATAAAAAGGTGGCTAATTTCTCAGCTACGGTTTTAGCGACGGATTGGGTTTTTCCTTGCCACAAAGGTAGCGACAGAATATCTGTCGCTAAATGTCACTAAATGTCACTCAATGCATTCCGTCGCTGTTCTGTCGCAAATTTCCATGAACAGTTTTTTTTTTTTTCCGTAGCTAATCCCTTGGAAAATTCATATACTATTTTTTTTTTCCGTTGCTGATCTATCGCAAACTTTAGACATGAATTTTTTTCATCACTAATCCCTTGCAAAGTTCATACATTAAATTTTTTTCCTTTCCGTCGCTGATCCGTCGCACTTTAGACATGATTTTTTTTCCGTAGCTAATCCCTCGCAAAATTCATGCATTAAAATACTTTTTATTTTCTCACCACGAACTTGTAATATCATTTTTTTTATTATGATTCTAAAAGAAAAAAAATACTACAATCATCAAATTATTATACTAAAGAACATCAAATAATGATACAATCAAGCATTACAATACCAAAATTATCAAAGTTTACCAAAGTGTCATTCAAGAAACATCCAAAAACGAAACTATCCACATAACATCAAACTCCCAACGATTTAACTTCAAAATAACATTTTAGAACCAAGAAATCCAAAGTATGCAAAAGAGGTACAAACAGAAAAAAGTTTAACCTTCAAAATAACATTTTAGCTGCTATCTTCGTTTCATGTCCATCCAATCATCTTCGGTTCTCATTCCTATAAAACATTATTCAAAACAATCAAAAACATCAAATACAAAAGGTTAACAAGTCATTCAAAAACATCAAATACTAATGGTTAACATCATATTACCTTTACTTTTCAATTTCCCATCATATTTTGCAAGGCTGCATACATCTTTTCCATTGCTTCATATTTTGCATCAATTTGTTGTTGTTTGGCATCTATTGCTGCAGCTTTGGCATCCATTTCCTCACGCATTTGTTGATGTTTAGCTTCCATTTCTGCAGCTTTAGCATCCATTTCGCCACGCATCTCGTTTCGTACACGTTCATAGACAACCTAAAGTACAATACCATGATTGAAAACTTTGTAAGTACAATGCCATGATAGGAAACTTTGTAAGTACAATGCCATGATAGGAAACTTTGTAAGTATAATACCATGATAGAAAACTTTGTAAGTACAATGCCATGACAGGAAACTTTGCAAGTACAATGCCATGATAGGAAACTTTGTAAGTACAATACTATGATAGGAAATTTTTATAAAGTACAAAATTAAACGAACCTCTTGGGATGTTATTGTACTAGATGTTCCTTCCAAAAAGCTCGCTGGATCAGACACAGATCCGAATCCATATATTCTTCCTTTCTTGACTCCTCCGGAAACATCACACCATGTTTCATTATCCAAGAGGGGGTGGCAACTAGTATCATCACCAAACTTAGCCACCATAGCACTTTCATAAGCCTCCTATTATAGCAAAAAAAAATATGAAAAAATAGTAACATGAAATAAGGAATAGAATGGTTCATTCCATCCCATTAAATTCATAATACTCAAACCTTGCATAAAGTTGATTACTACTTACAAAACACTTAATTACAACTAGGCAGAGGATCAAACATTTAGTTGATTACTACTTACGAAAGATTTGTTTTCTGTCAATTAGTTGCTTTAACAAAGTCATTAACCCGAGTAGTAGGAAGTTTTGTTTCCTACAAAAGAATTGAAAATACCTTAACTTTAGCTGCCTTTGGTGTAATGTACTCTTGAGTAGACCGTTTAGTGTGCAACCTTGCATAAAGTTCAACTCCTGTAGGAGGGCGTTTAAGAATTGCTTGCTACAAAATCCATTAGTAATACATTAAAAAACAAAACAAAAACTCAACAATCTAAGTGGAAACTAACGTGAGATGCAAACATCTTACCATTCTTTTCTTATGTTGACGAATAGATATAGAACCCCCGGTATGTTTGGAAACAGAACCATCTTCTAATTTATTTCTGTTATTTTTCCCTGATTGTGATAAACGTTTCCATTTGGATGTGGTCCACACTTCATTGATCATTTTTCCCAATACTCCTTTTTTATCCAATTTGGGCGATAGTCCTTTAGCAAATTTAAATCACCTTCTAGTGAGGCATTCACATTTGCAGCTTTGGCAAGTTTTAAAGATGCTTCACGTGCTCTTCGCATTACGTCAGGAAATCGTTTCTTCATACAGTCTTCCCATACCTTGCGAGCAAGAACATCAGTCTCTTCGGGCCAAACATACAAACCCTACATGTAGATCACGCATACAATTATCTTTTTCACTTTATACCAATTTTTACTTTGACAAATCATAAAAATAATAAGTACAAACCTTGAAGTGTTCCCACATTGCATCACGATGTTCTTTGTCAACCTTCTTCCATGAGGTCCATGGGCCGTCAAACATCGTCTTCAGTATACATGTGATGGCTCTGATCACTGAAATCTGATCCATAAATCTTGCAAAAAATTAAAAATTAAAAAATTAGCATTAGTATTATCATTAACAAGTAAATTCATTTTCATAAACAATTGTAAAATTAACTTTAGTACTCCTTTTCAGAATCGACTTCAATGAACTTCCTTTTTGATGGGTTACTTGGAACTTGTTCTAAGATGTTTGATCCTCTAACTGAAGAAGAAGGTTGACTTTCTGCATCATTGTATGATTGGGATGCATTTCTATCTCCAGCATCACGACCACTATAGTTCCAAAAGATGCTCCTCTTAACCCAATTATGAGTAATCCCGAAACCAGGCAATTTTGCATTCTTCGCTCTAAAAGGTTTGCCTTCATAAACAGTTGGAAAGTGTCGTACTTGCTCCCAAATTTGATCACCGGTTAATATTGGTGGGGGGCTAGATCGCTCAACCTTATTAGCCAGAAATCCTATTTTATCACCCCTATATGTGTGTTGTTCAGGTAAAAATTTTCGATGGCAGTCAAACCAACATGGTTTACTACCATGGTGTAACCGAAATGACCACGACTCACCCATACAATACGGACATGCTAACTTGCCATGTGTGCTCCATCCCGATAACATTGCATAAGCAGGAAAGTCACTAACTGTCCAAAGAATTATAGCTTTCATTGTGAAATTGCATTTAGTCGAAGCATCATAAGTCACAATACCATCTGTATATAGCATCTTTAACTCGTCAATTAGCGGCCTGAGAAACACATCTATATTTTGACCTGGGCTCTTTTTTCTAGGAATAATTATGCTTAATTGAACATATGGTTCTTTTAAGCACATCCAAGGAGGCAAGTTATAAATTGAAAGGAAAACAGGCCAACATGAATATGGGGTTGTATTTGAGTTATTTGGACTGAACCCATCGGTGCATAGCCCAAGGCGAACATTCCGTGGTTCACTTGAAAATTCTGGATGCAATGAGTTGAAATGCTTCCAAGCCTCACCATCACTTGGATGGACCATCAAACCCGGTTCGGTCTGATGTTCATAGTGCCATTTCATTTGCTTTGCCGTCTTTTTTGTTAAATACAACCTTTGGAGTCTAGGAGCAATCGGCAAGTACCTCATAACCAGATAAGGCAGTCTGCCACTCTTGTACCGATCATGATCACACACCCGACACTTAGTCAAATCCGAATCTGCCCCATAGAATATCATGCAATGGTTTTTGCAAGCATTAATCTTTTTTTCTGGGAGTCTAATTATTTTCAAAAGCTTCTTTGTCTCATAGAAGTTCTCAACTAGTTTCTCACCTTTGGGTAGCATTCGCTTAATTATAGGAAGTATGTGATCATAGGCAGCCTCAGATATATTGTATTCTGACTTCCAATGCAACAACTCTGTTGCAGCTTGTAATTTTGAATAATTTTCACATCCATCCCACAAAGGTTCATCAGCGTCTTCTAACATATCATAGAACCCCTTGGCAGTTGGATTCGGGAGTTCCTCCATTACATCCATCAACATTTGTGTACACCCATTAAGATCATCATCATCATCATCTTCCATCGGATCCTGCATCGGATTAGAAGATTCTTCCTCATGCTGAGATATCGTATTTCTTTCACCATGTGCCCGCCAAGTTGTGTAATTAGGAGTGAAACCGTTTTGTAACAAGTGAAGCTCTACATCACCTCTTGTTTTATAATACATGTTCTTGCATTTAAAACAAGGACATCTAATATAATCTCCATCAACAGTTGCTTCATTAGAAAAAGCAACATCTAGAAATCCTTTGACGGATGCATGATATGCTATGCTAAGATACCCATGATCTAACCTTTTGTACATCCAATCTCTATCACTACGTGTTGACATAATGACTAGCTACAACAAAATATATAACTACTATTCAGAACCTAGATAGAGATTAGATAAAAACTAGCTACAACAAAATAAGAAGAAGTGGATGATAATAAATCCTTGGGAATAAACAAGAACCGGAAAGGAGAGAAAGTAATCAAATAAATTCTAAGTGATAGACATATAGCAAAGAATAAGATAGAGCTTTAATATGTTTACACAAGTGACTATGTTATATAATCTATTAATAAAAAAATGAAGTCATTAACATTTCAAAGTATATTCATTGTGCTTATTGTATTGTGGAGGTAAATGTTGGAGATGGATAATATTTATTCTTGTAATTTTAGTTATTTGTCATATGACTATCTTAATCATGCATATAGATTGGGTATAGATACTAAATGTTGTAATCAATCTTCATAATTACAACCAATCCATGTTTTTTTATTTTTGTTTTCCTAAATGTTGAACATGTCAATAGGCTGAATCAAAATAGATATGATGAGACAAGAGACTTGAATCAAGAAAAAGACATAAGAGAGACAAAAGAAGGTCAAAAGATGGTTGACTTTCTAAAAGTGTGATTTGTGATTGGTAATCTACTCGCATTCATAATGTGATGACTCATAATATGAAATACCTAAAGTACCCTTGGTACAGGAAACGGGAAAAAAAAATTGGACAGCAGTTTGTGTCATCAATAATTTGTAAAGATTAATAGCAGGTAAAAACAAGGATACTTTGGGTGGAATCCATCTAAAAATAAAGAAAAGATTGCATTCAAAAATCTAAACAAATTATAAGTATTTATATTAATTTCATCTATCTTAGATCATATCGATCTTTATCCATGAGCCAATCAAGCCAACTAGTATTTGCCATTTGGCATATTTTCTTCTTGGGCTTTTTCTTTTGTCATAGTTATAACTTCTCACTTCGTAAAATTCTTTTCATATGTGATTCATCATTGGGTTGGGTCGATGAAGTTTTGTTTACTGATCATATAAAATTAAATATTATTAATTTCAGATTTGGGTTTAGAACTATAAGTTAAATATAATATATTGTTCATTTACTAATTTAACAAATAAAATAAGGAAATTAAGTAAAAAAACCGTATTAACAAAATAATTAAACAAGTCAACAATATGTTTAGTTTGTGACACCCATGTACCTACCTGGATAGATTTTCCCAAAATATGTAAGTTGTCAAATTAGTTTGATAAACTTAAATTCCAAATTCTATGACTATACATTTAAACTTGTCAATATTTAACCGGCGGAAATCGTGGTAAAAATGGTTAAACTTAAAAATAGCCCTTTATACAACTGTCTAAGTGAATTTTGTCTGAGGTCATCATGCTTCATATTTACAATATTTTTTGAGATATCTTGATATTTTTATTTCTATCAAGACAAGTATCAATTTTAAAAGATGTAATTAAAAGTAAATTAGTGGTAAATTAAATATCTTCATATTTTTATTTATATCAAGACAAGTATCAATTTTAAAAGATGTAATTAAAAGTAAATTAGTGGTGTATTGTCCATATGTTATTATTATATATAAGTAGAAAGATATGTAAAAACAAAATGTAGAAGAGTATTTAATTTTTTATATTTTTTTTGGGTAAATTACAAAGTTGGTCCCTGATGCAAGTTTCAAATTGTATGTTAAATTCATATTTTTTTAAAATAAACTCAGGCTATCCATTATAAGTTTGAATTCATATTTTTTAAAAATGAACTCAGACTATCCATTATAAGTTTAAATGTTGCACGTTTAGTCTCTTGAAGAAAAGAAGTTTGTAACCATCACCAGAAATCTGGATCATTATGACCGTCTCTCTCTCTCTCTCTCTCTCTCTCTCTCTCTCTCTCTCTCTAGATCTGAGACGATCCAATTGTTAACGAAGTTCATATCTATGTCGATAAGTAAATACACAAAACAAGAAGGGTAAAATGGTGATTTACTCACATTAAGTCCATATGAATTAGACAAACAGAAGGGTATAGTGGTCATTTAGCACAAATGTTCTAAAAAACATTATTAAGTTAAGTTGAGTTTGTAATGGTGTACCTGTCTCAGAGGAGTGACATTGATATCAGCTGCAGAAATAGATGTGGAGGAGGAAGTTGAAGTTGAAGTTGAAGCTGCAGAAATAGATGTTTCAGGTTTGTTAATAAAAACATGCATTCAAGGGTTGAAAAAACTCAGCTATGATATAAAATTTGATTTGGATTGTTGGATAAATAAAACCTCCAAATCTGGTTTGTTAATAAAAACGTTGTAGATGATGACTCATAATATGAAATACCTAAAGTACCCTTGGTACAGGAAACGGGAAAAAAAAATTGGACAGCAGTTTGTGTCATCAATAATTTGTAAAGATTAATAGCAGGTAAAAACAAGGATACTTTGGGTGGAATCCATCTAAAAATAAAGAAAAGATTGCATTCAAAAATCTAAACAAATTATAAGTATTTATATTAATTTCATCTATCTCAGATCATATCGATCTTTATTATCAGGTATTTTTTTTCCTATATTAGCAATGTGCTTATTTTCTTCTATTTTTTTTTTTAATAATTTGTAAATGATTATATTTTCAGGGAATGGGGAACAACATTTGTTGAGACCTGGGCAGTTTGACCGATAGGTGACAGTTGACCGGCCTGATGTTGCTGGTAGAGTCAGGATCCTTCAGGTTCGATCATGAAATTAGTCAAAAAGAAAAAAGCATCTAAATTTTCTTATATGTTGCACAGGTGCATTCAAGGGGAAAATCACTTGCAAAAGATGTGGATTTTGATAAGGTTGCTAGGAGAACACCAGGTTTCACAGGAGCTGATTTGCAAAACCTGATGAATGAAGCAGCCATCTGAAAATTAAGTAATGAACAGAACAATTGTGTAACCACCACCACCAGGTCCACCACCACCACCACCACCACCTCCCAGAAGCAATCATTCCGATGAAATAGAGAAAGTTGAAGTGGAGCCCCCTGTTGCTCGTGTTGAGGAGGATGACATCTTTGTAGGAGAAGGAATTGACTATTCTGTCCCTAGTAAAGATATAAGCCAAAGCCCATTGTCAGAAGACATGGAAGAATCTCCTAAAAGAAAAGAGAGACCTTCCAATTTCAATGAGCCAGCTTATGGCCCTGTTCCACCCTCGGACCCATCTCAAGACTGGCAACAAACAGTGAGAAAAATAGCAAAATACTTTTATTTACTATTTTACCCTCACCTTGCTTAACAATTTACCAAATTTTTAGAATGGGTATGATGCTATGCAAGTACAAGGCTATCAGGGAGAGTGGCAGTAGGAGTATCAATATGTGGAGCCGATGGGGTACCCCGAACAATATGTCCACCAAGATGGTCAAATGTATGATATGCAAGGAGGTTTGACCATAGAAGGGGACCCACATTTAATGACACAAGAAGAGAAAGATAGAGGTTTAGGGTCGGTGTTTAAGCGGGATGATACAAGGCTTCAACAATTAAGGTAAAAATATGCTCGTAAGAAAGATCCGAATTTTATATCCGAGAGCTATTCAGAATGTTATCCGGGTTATCAAGAATATAATCGTGAGGTTGTTGATAGTGATGATGAAGCTGATTTATCCAAAATGGATATGGGTGGTCGAGTAAGTGTTTTTTTTTTCATTTACAATTGTATGTTAATGGGAGATGAAATATGTTAATTATGTAATATGTATAAAACAGGAAAAGGGTTGGCTTCATAGGTGGGACTTTGAGACAGAAGAGGAATGGGCGACATTAGGAAGCCATGCCAAAAGCTGCGTTTCAGTTTGGTGTGAAGATGCAAGTTTGACCCCGAAAAACACATAGAGGCTTATTTACCTGTTAGAGTCAATGAACAGCGAGTCACAAATTTACTTCAATCTACACTTGTGGGATTTGCAGTTTTTGCTATTCCTGCTATCAGAATGATTCCCACTTCAGTTCTTTGGGGTTACTTCGCCTACATGTCAATCGATAGTCTTCCTGGAAATCAATTTTGGGAACGATTGTTGCTCTTTTTCATCCCTACTGGTCGACGTTTCAAGTAAGCCCCGTTTTGATTTGACATGAAGTAAATTCCCAATTTACCCTTCTGACGTTATTGTGGGTTTTATTTGAACAGAGTGTTGGAGTCGCTTCATGCGTCATATGTGGAATCGGTTCCATTCAAATACATAACAATGTTTACATTCAAATGTAAGGGTTCATGAATCCTTAAATTCTCATGAACTGGAAGACAAACTATGATGAATCAAGCCCTAACTCAAGTTCTAATTCTAAGTGTCTATTATTATATAGATGCAATTGATGGTAGACCTGAACCTAACTTGCAATTGATGGCATTTCATATGGCTACGAAACACAGTAACCAGAAACTTTCAAGGTAAATTAAACCCTAACAAAGTATATTGTGAAATTGAACTAAAACTAACCTAAGAGGGATGAGATTTACCTGAATCGGAGGTTAACGAAGAATACTTTCAAGTTTAAAGATATCGAGGTTGCCGAAATTGGGTGAGTAGCATCGTCATCTGCTCGAACAGAGATAGTGAGATAAAGCAGAAGCTAATTTCACTTAGTCAAGAGTGATAAATCTGGAGGGAAGTAAAGTTACACTGCCTTCGTGAAGATGGAATTGGGTGTGTCAATTTCAGCGAGAGAAAAAAAGAAAATGCGCGCACCCAAATAAAGTTTCCGTCGTCGTTCTCTCGCTAAACGCATACCATATGGCACAATTTTTTATCCCTCGCTGAACCCTAGCTAAGTGATTAGCGAGGAATAGTCGTCCGTCGTTAAATACTTGTAAGATCCGTAGCTGATCCCTCAGTAAATCCTCACTAATATTCCATATATTTAATAAATAAAATAATTATCAAAACCATGGTAGATCTGTCGTTTTTTCCTAGCTATAAGTCTAAATTTTGCTAGAGAATAAATCCGTAGCAAAATCCGTAGCTGAAACTCAAGTTTCTAGTATATAAGACTCCTTAAAGTCAAGGAATATGTTTAACCAATTTCGTATTCTTTTCCAAATTAATTTCAATAGTTTGTTATTAACATAGAATTTGCTCGAGAACATCTACTGAACATGATGAATCTATGAATTGGACTCAACTGCATATCAAGTACAGGAGTGGTGAGAATTTGATCCAAGATTTTGACCCATTGTCTCTAGACATGGTATGAACAGAAAATGATTCAAAATTTTAATGTTGGCATTTTCAAGTGTTCATTGCAAGATCATATTTCCTCTTATATTGTTACACCCCCAAACCAATGGAGTACTTTGATTCCTAATATTCGGTTGTGTATGCCTATTGTTCACACGAAGAGAGAAAAAGTTTGGGTGTCAAAAAGTATACCTTATGTGCACGACCACTTATGTCAGGCTTCCTTGGGGATAAAGCTCTGAACCAACAATCTTCCTTTTGTGCTGATAACAGATAAAAAGTGATATGTTAATCATTGTTCACAAACAACCTACTTGGACAAAGTAGTCGTATTGGGTACAGATATATTTATGTGATCCAACATATCGAAAGACTTAATCAATTGACTGTATTGATAAGCTCCTACATAGAGTAAAGAGAATAAGCAGGACATTCACAACCATAAACAAGTAATCGATAATGAATGATATACATATATATATATATATATATATATATATATATATATATAAAATAGGGTCTTCCCATTCTTTCAAGAGGAAGGGCCTCTGATCCAATAGTTTTGCAACTAGAATTTTCTTAGCTAACAATCTTCTAGAAAATGAAAGCTGAAATACTCCTCAAGGTAGGGTAAAATGGATGCCAGCACTCCATACCAAACCAAACATAAAGATAGTGCTTCGCCCATAAGGGAATTCTATTAAGACACAACAGAAAAATAAAACTCTCTTAAGAGTGTAAGGACTGAACTTGATCCCAACTAATTTGATGGGCTTTCCTGGACCTCCTGCTGTAGACTAGACGAATCAATGCTTGGGTCTATTCATTTTATAAATTAAAAGTACAAATTTTATTTTATATATTTTATAAAATCAAAATCTTATCTTATAGGTCAATAAAATCAATAATAAATGAGTGGATTTGGGTCATATTATCCATTTGTTCAAAAGATTTAATAAATAAATGGGTCATTATCCATCTATTTAAAGAAAGTAGGTGATGGGTCAGGTAGGTCATTATACATAAGAGATGACAATGACAATAATATATTTAACAAAAATCACATCTACCTTGAAAGTCGGGGACGTCTGGAACGAATTTATGATGATAGTGATACAATTCAATGCCATCAGCAAAAAACCGTCGGTTGTCTAGGATGTATTGTCCTGTAGTTGTCTGAAAAGGAGAGAGATCTCCACCAATTATGTGATTCCATGACTTGTAATAACCCAATGTATCTTCTTCTTCCTTCTTCTCTCCATCATCCTCATACACAAGACTCACCCCACACTCCTTTACGACTTGATAATCCGGCATTGTAACACTAACAATAATGTGGTCACCAGCCTCCATCTCATTCATCCCAAACATCCAATGACTTAACAACACCCAACACCCTCCATCAACAACATGTGTGTTCACATAATATTCGTATATCCACATGTGGTTCTTTGTTATATTACTAATTGTCATCATTGGTGAAAGAGGGAAATGAGCATCATATGTATATGGAACACAATCATCGGGAATTATCAATGTGTCAGCAGAGAAGCAGAAGTTGAGTCCTGTAAGGAGATTGTTTGGAGATGATGATGATGATGATGATGGGATGGTAAATGATATTGATGGCCCCATGCTTCTATCCCTAAACCAACTCGGCATCTCCTCTGTCTCACAATGTGTGCTGAATATTCCAAATTCATAAATCATCTGCCAAATACAACCACCTTAATTAGTCTCCATAAGAAGTGTATTATACATATTCACATAGAGACAAAAAAAATTAACTAAAAAAAACCTGGGTTTCAGATTCCCAAGAATTAGCTCCCAAGTGCCTTTCGTTAAGGAAGTCTAAATTACTCCAGCCCAAGCTACGTAATACCTTCTCCTCCACACCTACCATTGGTTGGATTTTCACAATGCCTTCAATTTCATATGACAAACCTGAACAAACCACCGAACTTCTTGACAAATCTAGTGGGGACATGTCTGGATCAAAAACGACTTTGCGTAAAACACGCTCATTGACAGGAAAGAGCAACCTGCTTAGTGTACGTGGAGGATGCTCAATTGACTTCAATTTTTTACAGTGTTGCATACTAAGCATCTCAAGCCTAGGAAGGGTTCTCACACAACTGGGCATGGAATCTATAGGATTGCCATCTAAATATAATTCCTTTAACACTGATAGGCAACTCATGTCCATGGGAAAGGATTTAGTGGACAAATTACTATTTGCAAGTGACAAACTTACTAAAGACCTCGGTAAATAAATTGCAAACAACTTCAAATCACTTGGTATAGCACCCACAGAGGCAGAGGAAGAGGTTCTTGTATTTATGTCAATGTTGTTAGCCTTGCACAATTCCAGTGAATCGCTACCCCTATTCTCGATTCGAGATCCACAAGGACTACAACCATCTAGCAACATTGTTTTAACATTCTTCAACATGCCTATGTTTCTTGGATGTTTTTCAAGCTTCTTGCAATAGCTTAGATCGATGAAGAAAAGTTCAACGCATTGCTCAATTGATTCACAAACCTCGAGCAAACCAATGCAGTTTCTAGCTACTAACCTCTCAAGTGCAGGAAGTTGGTCAAAATCACCAAGACTACGAAGTTTTTTACAAAAACTTAAATTTAGAATCTTCAATGACCCAAGTAACCTTTTATCTTTTAAGCACGATCCATCCAACTACAGAAATGGAAATAAGTTAGAAGAGTAGAGAATTCATCAACTCAAGATGGATGAATAATAAATGAAGATAAGTTACCTTTTTCCCCTTCTCAAGCTGATTATTATAACAACCGATAAATGATTCAATATTGCTATATGACATGTCAAGAGCAACAAGATTTTGCATAGGTAAGTCTAAAGGTATAGACTTTAAATGAAACCCATGCATACACAAGCCTCTTAATTCCTCTGGAAAGTTTGCATAAGACCCATTCATGTGCACATAATTGAGTTGTAGTAGCATCAAATTATCCATGTTACTCAATGCATTTGTTTTCAGCTCGTATGATACACCAAACCTCTCTTTCTCAATCATGCGCATGTCAAGGGTAAGACCTAGAAGATTTCCCTTTCCCTAATAAGAAACATAATACAAATAAATAAATCAGTCAATAAAAAATATTTTGGACGTACACACTACTAAAAGCATACATGGCCTCTTACCTTTTTTTGTTTCAACACTCTGAATGACTCTTCATGACACCATAATAGACTTCGCTTCCATGGCTTATCAAGTGATTCTTGACGTACTTCAAACCTTCCCATCTCTTGAAACAACTGATGCATCTTCAACTCGTTTTTCCCTCCAATTGTAAGAAGGAATCGGTCGAGGAGATTTGGGATTCCAGATCCTGTGTTTATATTACACGCCTTTAATATTGTTTCAGTAAGATCTCTATCTATTCCGACAAAAAAACAAGCAATATACTTAAACAAATCCTTATCATTTTTGGACGGCAAAGAGTTAAAGCTCATTCTCAAGACATTATTTACATGAGAATATGTTTCTTTCTTTAGCCCTTCTATGCACCCTTCCCAATAAGTTACATCTCGATCATATAGAGATTTTCCCAATACTTCAAGAGCCAATGGATGTCCTTGACAATACTTCACAAGCTTATATGACACCTCTTGGTAACCTTTCTTGGGATAATTGCATTTGAATGCATGGAGACACAAAAGTTGCCATGCTTTGATCTCAAGTAAGCCTTGAAGCACGAGCTCTTTATGCATGGGTTCAATGTTTGTTTTGAATATTGCACAACTCTTTGTCAAATGCCTGTCCTTTGTGGTTATAATGATTTTGCTTCCTGGATGAAAACCTTTGCTTCCAAGTAACGCATCCAACTGATCAAGCGTACTAATATCATCAAGAACAAGAAACACCCTTTTACGTGCTACTGCATTCTCTATCTTTGAGGTGTATACCGAAGCATCATGAACTTTAACGGAACTTGTTTTTGAAATGTCACTGCTTAGTTTTTCTTGTAAATCAAGCAACCCATTAAACTTTCCATCACATACCCTACTAATATCTTCAATACAACTGCTTTTTTGGAATTCATGTGAATATAGCCCATAGACATGTTTGGCTAAAGATGTCTTCCCGATCCCACCCATACCCGAAATAGTGAGTATGTCTGCTGTGTATGAGGATGCATCTTTCAACCATGAAGTGATGAAGTTAATATAATATTCCATCCCAATAAGCTGTGATCGAACGCTCCTTAAGGGTACATGTAATCTACGGTGGATGTCCTTCACAATTTCTTCAATAAACTCTGTCTCCAGCCTGAAATCAGATATTATAAGAACCACACAACTAACAAACCAGATTTGGAGATTTAATTTGTCCAAAGATCCAAAATCAAAATTATATCATAGCTATTAATTTTAATCAAGTCCTTCACATTAAAACGATATTCTGTTTACAAGTCTAACTATACAGGTATCCTATGTGTAAGGCCATACTATAATAAGATAAAAGATGCCAATGTAATACCAGATTTTAGTAATGGGAAACCTAACTTCACTTTACACAAGACCATAACTATCATTGTGTTGTGTTTGAAAAAAAAAGTCAGTTATAGGTAATCTTTTACGAACCGAAGGTAAGAGAAGTTATTTATCATAAAGGACACTATGATTTGAAGGTGGCATGATATAATTAATAGTAGATGCATAGCAAACCCTTCAAATCTTGCTTTCTTAATGGAAAACATCAAAAATAATTGAAATAGTTTGTCTAACTGAATTAACTTATGATGAAACACAAAATTCATACTAAATGTATGAATTTACTAGAATAATGAATCCATCTATATGAACTGATTTATTAGATCACATAATTGAAAGCTTAGATAAAATTACGTGAATCTTATTTATATCCTAATAGATCAAATATATGTCTATTTAATGATGTTAAAGAAACTTATTGAAATGCATTGGGAGAAAATGATACTAACATTGATGTGTTAATCAAACAAAATTGAAGGATTATGTAAATGTGCATAAGAAAGTGGTTACCTTCCTCTTACATCATTTCCTTTTAAATTAGCAACTTCTATAAGTGCTTTATTCCATCGGTCCATCTTTTGAGCTAATTGACTTCTTTTATCTGCATTTGTCTCCGCCTCCATCATCTGTCTATGCTTAGCCATTGCATCTCCAAAGCTACTTAGTTGCTTCCTAACATGTGTGGGCTCCACATGATAGAATATTGGGATAACAATATGGTTGGATGTCATACGCTGCTCAAGGGTCAGCACCAATTCATCGAGACACCATGTTGAAGAAGCATAATTCTTGGACAAGACAATGATAGAAGCCCTAGATGCTTTGATCGCATTCTCTAATTCCGGTTTAAGATCTTCCCCAGTTTCAATCTCTTCATCATCCAAGAAGGTATTGATATTGGCATCAATAAGGGCCTCATGAAGGTGATCAGTGAAACTATGACGAGTGTCAACACCTCTAAAACTTAAAAATACGTCATATCTATGACCATCAGTTGATGAAATACGGCCACAATTTGGTGAACTATGGCCATGAGTTGATGAAGAAGATGAAGATCCTTCTGGAAGTTCAGATAGAACAACCATTATGAGTAATGAATTGATGACTCTTCACCCTTCCCACAATTTTGTTTATTTATTTAAAGTTTCTCCTTATATACCGGGTGTATCTTAGTAAGTTCTGAAACTCCTCCACACGTTATCGGCTATGAAAGTTGGTTTCACCGGCTTCCCTACCTTATGTACCAATGTAGGGATCTAGTACACAATGCCTCTACATAAATACGAAACTATTAATATCTACTATATGCAACTTAAATCTCATCAAACAAATTGAAACTCAATGATAATAGTATCCTTGAATTCTTCGAAAATAAACTTTAAAGTGATTAGATTACAACACATATGAACTCTAAATGTATAAATATGCCACTTTTTATTCCCAAACTTCAAGTTTTGAGTAGATTTTGGAGCTATATAGCACCGAGTGTGTGTTTTAATTAACCCTTCTTTTGGATTTGATTAACTAACATAAACATGCCTGCTATTGTCTAAATAAAATCCATTTGATGCTCACTTAAACAAATCAACACCAAATACCATTATGTAACAACTACAAGATTCACTGTTAGCCCTCATAAGAGAAATTGCAATACACAGAGGAAATTTCAAGCTTGCACTGTATATCAACAAACAATTAAAAGATTTAAACAAAAAAGGAGTACGTTTCTTGACTTGGAAGTTCATAGATCCCCTAAATTAGCAACAAAAATCCTTTCAACTTTGAAATTCTCTATCACTGGATCTAGTATTAGCATACATCTAAAGGATTTCGACTTTCATTTATGGGCTTGATCCAAATGATATGATTTTGAAACTAACAAGCCATGACCTTTCTATGGTTTCAAATTCAAACTCTCCAGAATTAATTGAGCAACAGTAAATGAAATAGACAAAATCCAATATTCATCTGTTAAGAAAATAAAAAAGGATTATGATGTAATTTATGATTAATAAGATGAAATGATCTAACATATGAAGCTAAACTATAAGAATGTCCCTTCATAGTAAACTACCGACATGAAGACAAACAGACCTGAAGCAGCGATGGTAGAGAAGGAACAAGCAGTGACGAGTCTGAGAAAGATGACGACTGGAGATTACAGAGGTTTGTTTGTCGGCAGGGAAATGACGAGCGAACGAGGAAGGAAGGGAGACTGGTAGAGAGGATAAGATGGGGGTGGTTCTCCTTTGCCTTGAGAATCGATGGTGGTCTCTTTTTATTATTTTCAGGAGATATGGAGAATTCCATGAAATTTAATGGTAACTTGGGGTATATTCTAAGAAATTATTTGAGTCATAGGGAAACGACTAGTCAACGCCAGAGACTTTAACAACGATAATATTTGCAAAATGTTGTAGGTTTTTGTCTTTCTTTTATGATTTTTGTACCTTAGTCTTCGATTTATTTATTTATTTATTTATTTTTTATTTTTTTTTTTGTGATCCTTGTCTCTAATAATGGGTTTTCAAGTTATCCTAAAATCAAATTAAAAATATAACATTTAAATTTACAAATCCTTTATGATTTTATCTTAATTATATTTTTTCTTCATATTATATACAGAAAAAAAAAATTATACACGAAAAAATGTTATCTAAACATCATATAAATGATTTTTAAAAAGTATAAATACGTATTGTTACATATAAATACAAATTTATATTTTTATACTTCTAAAAATGTAAAATACATATTTATACTTGTAAAGAAGTATAAATGCATATTTATACTTCTAAAAAGGTATGAATATGTATTTGTAACTACTAAAAAATATAATTATATTTCAAAAAACATAAAAATACATATTTTTGTTTCTAAATACGTATTTTTACATATATATGCTTCTTAAAAGTATAAATATTTTTTCCTTTTTAGAAGTATAAATACATATGTTTATATTTTTAGAAGTATATAGATGCATTTTTAGAAGCATAGATATGTATTTTACGTTTTTTAGAAGTATAAATATGTATTTATAATTTTATGGAAGTATAGATTATTGGATTAGTGTCTAAGTCCATAACTCTTTTGGTATGTACTTGATCCGATTGTGAGCATGATCCTTTTGGGTTCCCTTCACACTGGTGACTAGACAGGATGACTGTTGAGGAGAGAGGCTGGTTTATTGTTAAGAATAATAAATTGGGGTATAAAGATGATTTGTTAATATATTAATTTGGAATCATATTATTAACTAGTATTTAATTAGAAATTAATTAGGAATTAATTTCGGGATTAAAAGAACTAATTAAAAGTTCAGGGGTTGTTTTGTAATTATTTGATAGTTGAGACTTTGGGCTATTGGATCACCTTTATTAAGGCTTGAATGAAAATCCTAGAAGGATCTAGGAGTTTTCATCCAAGGGCTTAATGAAAGGAGTCCATGGACTTGCTTAGGCCCTAAGCTAAGGGATTAGGGTTTCCGCCTTGAAACCCTAGCTAGCCTCAAGTATAAATAGCACCCTAAGGCACTAGAATTCGACCACCTCTTGGGAAAACCCTAAGAGGGCCAAATTTTGGAGCTTAGTATCTTTCCTCCTCCCTCTCATATTCATCCTCTCACTCAAAGTGTGTTTGTGAGCCATTAGAGGTACTACACTTGTGATACTTGCTTTCAAGAGCTAAGGAAACTCAAGGAATTAGTTTTTATTACTATATAACAACAAAAGGTATGTATTCTATTCTCCTAGGTCAATTTTGAAAGTAGTAGATGCATGCTAGGTTTCTTTTGTGTTCATAATGCTGTATGGCTAATAGTGAAAACATGGATCTGTATCTAGGGTTGCATGAACACATATGATTGTTTGTATAAAACCCAACAATGGTATTAGAGCAATTAGTACAATTAGATTTAATAAAAATGTATGAATTTGACAAATTAGGGTTTATGACTAATAAACACTAGGGCTTGGATTTTCGAAATTAGGGTTACAAAACCCTAGTTTTCGAATTATATTAGGGTTTCCCAAACCCTTTTCCTTAGCTACCAAGATTTCGAAATTAGGGTTGTCTAACCCTTGGATTTCGAAATTTGCCTTGTCCCCATGACAAGATTCCCAAATTTTAGGGATTTGGATAATACCATATCTTGTAATTATCCCTTAATTGTTTAAGTAGATAATTAAAGATCTTTTGAATTATCCCATCCTAAATTTTCGAATTTTAAGGGATTTAATGGATTAGGTTAAATTAATGTTTTAATTTAATAGATAATCCTTCAAGATTTAATAATTCAAATTAATTGTTTAATTTTGAGATAATTATTAAATCAAAGTTTTAATATTTAAAATTTTAAATCGAAAGGTTTTAATTTTTAGAAATTTTTAAATTTGATTAAAACCTTAGTTTTTTGAAAAGTTCAAGTAACACCCCTTATGGTTTTATGAAGTTAATTAAAAGTATAATTAAAATAGAATTAATAAATCCATAATCATATGGTTTATATTTAATTAAAAGTGTAATTTGTTAAATTAAACCACCTAGTATTATAAAAGTGTAAAATACACCCTTATACTATATATAAGATTAAAAGTCTAATATTATATATGTATAACTTAAACTGCTAGTCTTACCATTAGTAGGTCTCATTCACGAAGCTGATCTATAAGGGGGGGGGATAAGGTTATGGCCTATAAAATGGTCATTTAATGGGTGTCCACTCTCACCCACCGCTTCCTTGATTGGTGGATGATCGTTAGCCGAACGGGTAGGATAGGGCAAACCCTTTCCATTAAAGGTATAATTAAGTATAAAGTAACTAAATGTTTTTTTTTTACAAAATTCCCAATCTTAATTACTTTAGGCAAAAGTGAATTTGATGCAATTCCATGAAATTACTCTTTGTACCTTTGCTAAGACATTAGTGGAGCATGTGTGGTTAACCGGCACACTAAATGGGTTCTAAGAAAAGGTTGCAAAGGGTGACTCAATGTTTGTCATTGTTCGGTGGAGCATGTGTGGTTAATCGACACATCGAATAGATGACTATAACCTTGGGGGCACCATGCAAGTTTGCATGGTTATTCGCACCCTGTTTTGTGATCCTCGGCATCCTAGTCACAAATCGAGGGGCATATCAAGATTTAAACATGTCATTGAAAAGTTCAATGAATCTCAAAAGATCTAGGAGTTTTCAATACATTTAAAACTTAATCTCTTTTCGTTTTTCATGGTGGAAAATTAGTGAATCATCATTCACTTACTTTCAAATGTTCTACAATTTGGGTTACGACATCCCTCTCCCAAGTTGTAGAGTATTGTGTTGGGTCCTAGCCTTAATATCTCATTTGGGTGATTTATTAAAGACTAAATTAATCAATCGACTAACTTGAATTTTATCTCGTTTTGAAGATGTCTGAATCTAACCGTGGTCTTCCCAAATCCCATAGAAAAGGTTTGCCTGCTCAAAGTGAAAGTCTGTTCCACAATGAAGGTGAAAGATCGATCCTTGCCTTGTGGACTATCTTGGTTTCACTTCCTCCACCCCCTTCTGTTGTCCTCCCAAACCCATAAGATCGAAGAATTGAAAAGTTCAAAATCACTCAAGCGATGTTGCCAATGAAAC